TTATCTTAATATCCTTTAATTGTCCAAGAGCACTAAGTTTACATCACAAAAATCCAAAGTGGCGTTCCCCATGGGCCCGCTTTAGGGATCCTTCAATTCAGTGTCTACATGTGCTCCATAAGTCATCCATCTATCTTCTCCATCATTCCGGCAGACAAACAAACCTCAGTTTGTGAAACCGAAAGGTAATTTCTCTAAGGTTTAGTTTCCTTAAAAGACTTCAATCAACAGCTCAACCTGCCACCAACAAGCATCTGAGTTGGATCGCATGTCAGACTCCATGTCATCCCTCCTCCATCACCTTCTCCACCTTCCTTGCATGCTCCTCTGGCTCCTCCTCTTTGCTACTGCTTTCCCCCGTTTAAAGTAATTCCCAGTACCTGTACTGCTTTCACAAGGCATCCCAACCAGTCCACCAGAAGACCACCATGTTGAGCCTGGGTTTGCCAGAGATTTCTTCCCAATGGGAGTTTTTTCTCACCACTGTCACTTCATGCTTGGTCATCATCCAACCTGCGCATTGGTCCGGCTGGCATCCGTCTTCATACCATCTTAGTTTCACCACCAGTTTCAAGCTGTAGCACTTCATCCCATGTGATCAAAGTAAAATTCATTGTAAATGTACACTGCCATGGTCTAGGCACTAAAATCCTAAAAAATGTTTCAGTAAAACTTTTCACCTAATCACCTTTCTATTTTTTTTTACTTTTTTCAGGTTGAATTCCCTGCAGAGGGAAACGGGTTGACTTCTTTGGGATCATAATAGATATTTTTATGATTTTTAATGGATTTTTTTTTTTATTGAAATTAATCACATGTCGAAAATGGCCTGCTGATAATGGCCTATAAAGATTTGTGGCAGTTCTTCAGTTTAGTTTCAAATTTACACTGAAAGAAGGAGGCCAGCAATATACCATGCTCCTCCAGCTCCTTCTTAGGTTTAGACATTTTATTTTTATTTTTTATTTAACCTTTATTTTACCAGGAAGTCCCTTGAGATAAAATCTCTTTTTCGAGGGAGACCTTAAAATTTAAAGAACATATTTCCTAATTTTATTTTGTGCAACTAAATAAAAGGAAACAATTTATTTTGGATGTGATCCATAAAGAGAAAACAAAGCACTTAAGAGCTCAAAATGTTCCCCATGTATGCTTTTATGTTAACTTTCCTCATTGTTTGGGTATTGCCTCTTAAACACCAAATACTGTAACCTTTTGTTGTTTATTATTAGTGATGCGCCGATGCCATTTTTTGGCCCCAATAACGATAACCTGGCTGTGCAGTGTTGGCACAGCCAGTCCATCGATACCATGCTGATACCCAGTCGTCAAGTTGTGAAAAAAAAAAGAAGGGGGGTGGTGGATTATTTATTTATTTATGCCTACATAGCCTAATTATTATAGTCTATTAATCTAAAGCAAGATGCATGGTATGTTTGTTACATGTCAGGTGTTGTTTCAAGAAAGTCATGTGACCAATACAGGATTATTTTTTTTTTTTAACTGACTGACACACTAAACTCTGTCTAAAAACGTATCTGTCAACAAAATGCATCTGCTAAAAAAATTTCTCATCTTTTGCGGTTTATTATTAAAATGATAAATAATTTTGTAGCAGCCTAAAAGGAACAGGAATGTTGCGTTTTTATTTTAATTTTCTCGTTGTATCATCCTCTGAGTTATCACTCAACTTATCTGAATAAAAGTTAATTTCAGATGAACTTATTGATCATTTACTGTTTTTTCTGTACTTATTCTTTTAAAAATATGTTTAAAATCCTAGTCACAAGTATCCTCATTTACATTTCCCCCTAAATTTTAACATAATATGTTTACATTATTTATTAGCTGCATCAAAAAATATAAAAGATATTTTCAATTTAAACATAGATATGAAATAATACTATATAGCCTACAATAACGTCTATTATATCATTGTACTAGGTGATCAAATTAATTCAGTTTAGTCTTGTCAGATCAGCTGCCTGTAGTGTCTTTAAATGTCCAGCAGGTGTCAGTATTCTGTGAGATAGTTTTAACGCAGTATCTATACAGTTTGGCAAGATTGGCTTTCTTAATAATGAAGTTCCTCCAATCACGTTATCTTTGCCGCTTGGCCATGATGCAGCTCAGAACACCGTCACTTGCTCCACTGGTTGCGCCACTGAGGTCGAAAATGAAATCGCGTGTGCCCTCTGGGCCACCGTAATTTGGTCAGGCTACTTGTAAGCGTACAGCCTGCCAAATGTTGAAAGGGCAACAATATTGCCATTACTGTTGATATATATTAGAAATGTACACATTCAGTGATAAAATGTTACAGGGGATGGTATGGGGGAGTGGTTATTTAAGAAGGGGGATGATTTTATTTTACAAATGGGGATGCCATCCCCCCTCAATTAGAGTACTACCGATACCATCTGTGTGAAACTGATGTGTGTGTGTATATATGGAGAACTGCATACTACTTGAATGTAAAATAATTGCCATCATGGCTTTGTCAAGCTGCTGCCTACCTTTGTGAAGCAGGAAAAAGACTAATACAAAGTGAATCCAGTAGAACTTTTTATTGCCTACCTGGAATTGGTGACAATAGTTGAATAAACTTTTGGCTCTCAAAATGGTATCAGTAGCCTATTTGTTGGTACTCGCCAATACCGATACCAAAATTTTTGTGCTGGATCAGGGCCCGGCTCGATACTGGTATCGGTATCGGTGCAACACTATTTATTATGTAGAAGGTTGTAGCATGATTGTCTGATTTCATGTAAAAGTTACTGTGCAGTTGAGTTTTTTCTTCTTTTGTTAGATTGTATATGTTGCACGCAACGCGAAGGACAACATGGTGTCTTTTTACCACTTTGACCGCATGAATCAAGTGCAGCCAGAGCCTGGGGAATGGAGCAGCTATTTCCAGAGGTTCCTGGATGGACAGAGTAAATCGAAAATGTGTATAAAATATTTTTTTTTTTGTAATCTTTTTTTTCCTTTGGTGGTGTTGATTTTTCTTTTTCTGGGTTGTTTTGTATCTTAGTGTTGTACGGTTCCTGGTATGACCATGTGGGAAACTGGTGGAACAAGAAGAAGAGCTATCCAAAACTTCATTACATGTTCTACGAAGATATAGCTGAGGTAATTTATCTGACTGCCTGTGTTTGTTTTTTTTTTTTTTTTTTTTTACTGTTTTGGTCAACATGTGATATATGACTGTGTGTTTCTAGGACACTGAGGCAGAATTAGACAAACTTTGCTCCTTCCTCGGTTTATCTCCATCAGCTGAAGAGAAACAGGCCATTCTAGAGCTAGTCCACTTTGATAACATGAAAAACAATGAAATGACAAACTGCTCCAAACTTAATTTCTTGGATTTCAACATTTCTCCGTTCTTGAGGAAAGGTAACCTCTATTTTATATATATATATATATAATATGTATATGAAGGGAAGGTGTTTGGAAGAAATAAATAAATACCGGTAGCTTATTTGGGGTTTTTTTCCAGGAAAAGTTGGTGACTGGAAAAACCACTTTACTGTGGCCCAGAATGAACTGTTTGAAGAGGACTACAAAAACAAGATGAACGATCCTACGCTTCAGTTTCGGACTGAGATCTGAGCTGGCCTTTGGTACATCTAAGATAATCTCATAATTAGATCATTTATGAAATTCAGAGACATGAAATCTCAAATGTAAAAGGACCAATGTGAACCATTTCAAACATAACGTTGACTTTTTTCTAAATAACTTAATTTATCTTCTTATAAGAAGCTCCGAAAATAAAAACATTTTCTTCACTGCAAAAATGATCAAGAAAGAAGTCAACATTTCTTAGATTAAGTGTATTTAACCTTAATTTGAGCACGTAAATAAGATACTAAGATGCCAATGGAATGAGTATTTCTACGCTTAAAATAAGATGATTAGATAATATGCACTGAAAATAAGACAATGCAATTGTTTTTTCCCATTTTAAATGTAAATTGTCTTGTTCCATTGGCAGTGTCTCACTTACCTCCTCAATTCAAGAAAAAATTCACTTATTTTAAGAAAATATGACTTATCTAGATTTTGATTTTTTCCAGTGTTTTTTCTGGAGTTTCATGTTTCCATCAATAAAAAAAAGGCACATATAAGAATAATCTGAGTTGTCTTTTTTTTTTCTTTTTTTTTTTAGCAATTAACTATTTCTTAAAGATGGAAATTGATTAACTTCCAAATTCTTGGGCTATTTTATTTTTTTAAAACCTCAGTTAAATTAGCCTCCATTAAAAGCCGGTGTGGATCTATAAAACAGGCTGCCACCCAGATGACTGAGAACTTACACAGGCAACTGTTGTGGATAAGCAGACTATTTTGTTTTCAAATAAATCATACTGGCTTCTTTTCAGTTCTAAAAATTGGAAAATGTTAAAAGTTGAGCACTATTATTTCCATAATCAAGCTGTTACTGAACACCATGAAGATGAGCCAGTTAAACCCTGTACAGTTTTATAGGTTTAAACATAGTGTCAAAAAAAAAACCCACAGCAGATTCCACTCTGATTATATTTTCAAAATAAAAGCTCAAAAGAAAAGGTGACGGTTGAAAACCTGAGTTCAACTGGACTGCAAAGCCACACAAGCTTTCACATACACACACTTAAACCAAAGGGCAATTAAGTGACACAATTAAACCTATTGGTTAATGTTATGTCCCCTGGCTTGGTCTGGAGAGTATAAAGGAGGAACTTAAGTCTAGACATTGGAGAAGGAGAACATATGGCACTCAAGATGTCTATTTTCTGTAATATTTCTTTCAGGTGAGTTTTTTTCCTGCACAGACCTATAAAGAAGCTTCAGGGAGAGCATAGGCAAACATAACAAACAAAAACTTCTTAAAGAAAAAGAAAGGAAAAACTTAATACGATAAAAAATCTCAATATCCAACCTTAAAAAATAGCCTACCTAACAAACACATAAACAGCTTCCAACTGGGGTTAAACAAAATGGCAACCCACCGCTTCCAAAACAGTTTGACAAAGTTCACATCACATGTAGCACAGATAGGCATTTAAGCCTGCACCACAATCAGTAGTGTACAGCCGTCAAGTGGTTATAATAGTGTGCAGGTAAATGCTGATTGGCTGAAGACCCAGGAAGCAGCACCCCAGTCTTGCATGTGGGGCCTAGAAGATAGCAAGGGATTTCTTTAATGTTAAAAAAAAAATAAACATCCATTCGGGATGTAATAATATGCTTTTGGACTTTGGGAGGGAGCCGGAGCACCAGGAGAGAACCATGTCTGCACAGAGAGAACATGCAAACACTATGCAGAAAGACACTAGGCCCCTGTTGCTGCACGGTAACAATGCTACAAATTGCAAAAAAAGCAGCGATTCAAAAAATTACCATCCACTAAAAATACTTTATAAAATACAATTAACTAGGTCAATCAAAAAGAACAAACACATTATGCACCTTTGATCCGCTTAAAAACGTGACTGCAAAACTAAAATGGCTGATGTCAAAGAATCTGCCTTACAGATTCCCTGACTGTTAAATTCAAGCTAAGCACTCATTATTGCGCTTTAACTGTTGATTTATTTAATTCAGTTTATTGATATAGCGCCAATTTACAACACGTCATCTCAAGGCACTTTACAGAGACGATTCAACCAGATCATACAGTCAGATTGATTCTAAGTTTTCTAAGGAATACCAGCTGATTTTATCGACTCATTGACTAGAAGGCAAAGCCTCACACAGCTGGAGAACAAATGTTTTCAGCTACCAGCTTTATTTACAGAGGATACATTTGAACCTATTTTGTGTATATCTCAGGTGAAAAAAATTAGAAATATTTTATAAAAGTTACATCTGCCTTTCTTTCTTTCGAGACTTTTCTGCACAAAAAGTTCTTGAGGAAAATGAGGGACGCTATGATCTATCAATTTGAAAATCTGAGTCAATGATTTAAGTCTTACATTACCAAACCAACAAAAGATGCCATTCCTTCAAACATATTATTGGCAGCAACATGTGAAAATACAAGACACAAGAGAATCAAACCACAAACTCTTTGTACTTTTGTTTGACAGCTGAGGCTTTACTTGAAGTTCACCTGCTGGAGCTTGTCTGCCTGGCTGTGTGTTTCCTGGACAGGGCCACCTGTGGAGCTGGTTGACAGTTGCCTTTTGTATCTGTGCTTCTTTTTCTATGTCTGCTTCTGCCTCCTTGAACCCCAGTTGGCCTCTGCAGATGGCCGCTCACACAGAGCCTGGTTCTACTGGAGGTTTCCTCCTGTTAAAAGGGAGTTTTGCGTTTGAGTCAAAGAGTCGATGCAATCAACTGGTTTTCCTTAGATAGAAAATTTTTGATTAATCTGACAAGATGATCTGGTGAACTGTAAAGTGCCTTGAGATGAGGTGTTGTGAATTGGCGCAATATAAAATAACTGAAATGAATTGAATTGAATTGGATGCTGTGTTCATGATCCGCTATCAGGAGATAACCCCAACTAACCCGGGATGCACCAGAATCCCTACTGTCTTTTTCATAATAATTTGAAGTTTACTAACCTGGCATAAACCTAAATGATACATGTAGTTCAGTTTTAATTCTACACGGTTTTAATCTAGAAAGCCTTCTGTACAAAGTGTTTCCTAAAGAGAGGGACATTCAAATGGTAAACAGCCTGTACTTATATACCGCTTTTTCAAGTCAGAGGACTTGATAAAAGAGTTTAACACTACATTCAGTCATTCACGCACACACTCACATACTGATGGTGGTAAGCTACATTGTAGCCACAGCTGCCCTGGGGCTAAGAGACAGAAGCAATGCCCTGTGAACACCATTAGTAGGCAATGCCTCTGAAAAGCTGGAGCTGGGGATTAAACCGACAACCCTCCGGTTATGTGGCAAACTCCTTCATCCGACGCCACTGTCATTCAGTAACATTTTCTAAGCTGATTGTTTCTGCCTCCCAGGTTTTAGCCAATCCCAGCAGCAGTAGAGGCTGTGACGTATCACATTCTTGATCTTTTTCACAACTGCCATAGTTAACTAGTGAATCAAACTCTTACCAAATCCGGTCAAGAGGAACCTGCAAACACCTTCCCCATCTCCAAAGATAAGAATTGGTTTCAAAAAGAAGTAGAAGGTATTCCAGCTGAAACTGGCTCAACCTTGTATGTTTTGCCTTAGCTTTCCAGCTCTGGTTGACGTGTTAATATCAAACATCTCACTTCAGTTTAATTGGTCCGAAAGATTTCTGTATCAAGGCTAAGACTTCTGTTGGCTTCTGGCAAGATGTATCTTTGAGAATTTTCACAAATCTTTGGACAATTCATTTAGCTTGCAAGGTGAGAAAAATGCAACTTGAAGTCGTAGGGAAGCAGCCATTCCAACCGTTGCATTTCCAAATTCTCCTAAGTGGTGCCCGACTTTACATGAGTGAATAAAGTGAATGTGATTGGTCGATTATCAAGAGGGGGGGATTGTTGAGGTGGAAGGTTGGCAAGCAAGTTTGGTTGTGGCTGTTGTCTTAGAAGCACCTTAATGCTAGTAGGCTCCCAATGGGAAAATCCATTGGGACCAAGTAGCACTAAATTGGTGACTTGAAAAGACACTGTCAAGGAACGCTATGGACAGTGTAAACATGCAGAAGGAGGAGAGTTTGTGTTGGAGGTCTTGGATGAGTCTCCTCCATCATACATTTTTTATTAAGAGGAGGAAAGCGGGGACGAAGTTGTTGTGGAAGAGGACCCCAGGGCGGCAGAAGCTTGGTTTGGTGTAGAAGACTTAAAGCCGTACATGTTTGAGCCCTTGCCTCAACCATTGCGACATATGAATCAAGATGCTATGACCGAAACAATTTGATTGACAGATGATCATATGTATATGATTGGCCGAATTTAGGTGTACAAGCTGACGTATGATTAACTGGCCTGCATAATATAACAGAAAAAAACACAGATTTTAAATTTTGGGACAATACAGTCTAATAAAGAGTACATTTATGAGTTTCCCATGACTTTGATGTGAAATACCATAAAACTGAAAGGTTAACTTTCTATACTCTAAGAGTATACAAGAGTAATGAATGCAGACCTATTTGTGGGATGTTTTGCTTTTTGCTCTTTAATGGGGTGTCAGGATCAGAGAAAATGTCAACCCAACGTTCTGCCTGCAGCCTACCTGATCAGAGCAGTTAATCCCCATTCATAATAACATTGTCAACAGTGTCCACCTCTGATCAACACATGACAGAAGGTCTGTCATCTGATCAGTTGAATAAAACAAAAAGCCTGTCGAATCCACATACAGCAGGAGAGGATGCTGTTTTTAATCAGCAACAACACAAAGATCACGGGTTACTTTAAAAAAAAAAAAAAGAATTAAGCATGTATCTTAATAAGATGGTGGAAGATCTAATGAAAAGACATAAAAAAGAGCTAAATGATTTATGCAGATGATTCTCTAGTGTATGCATCAGACTTTTCCTCTGAAAACTAATAAAACAGCAACTGCTGGCTGTGAATGAATAACTAAATATAACAAACCGATGCTTTAATTAAAATCTAAAAGCATCATTATAGAATAAAATTACCAGTTGATGAAAAAGTCTAAATTAGACTGATTGTTAAAGATGAACCAGTAAGAGAAGCTAACCTGTAGGGAGTTGCTCTGGACATTGAGCCGTCATAGAACAAATATTAATGAATGATTTAAGCAGAATGGGAACAACCTGGCAGTCACAAAACATCATCAATCCTGAGAAATGATACCATATGATTAATCAAATCTCTTCTCTACCAGCATATTTGGTGTGAGGGATTGTCTTCCAGTCTAAGAGTCAATGCAATCAGCTGGTTTTCCTCAGATAAAAAAAA